GATAGATAGATAGATAGATAGATAGATAGATAGATAGATAGATAGATGATAGGTATTTGCAGACCCTGTCAAAGTACTTTCCAAATTTCCTGGAATCTAACATCAAATATATCCAGACTCTAAACACTTCATACCACTCCATCCCCAAGTTAATCAGGTGACCTCTGATTCACATTATCTCACTTAGCTCCTAATTGTTCTTCCTGATTCTATTCTTTTGGGCAGGGTGTACCATAACATGTAAGTAGAGTTCAGACAACAGCTTTGAGGAGTGGGTTCTCTTTTTCCACCATATGTGTTCTAAGGACCAAACTCAAGTTGTTGTCTAAGCTTGCACCTTTACCTTCTGTGGTGGTTTGAATATGCTTGGCCCATGGGAAATGACACTATTAAGAGGTTTGGCCTTGTTGGAGAAAGTGTGTCACAGCGGGTGGGCTTGGAGACGCTCCTCCTAGCTTCCTGGAAGTTAGTTTCTTCTAGCTGCCTTCAGATCAAGATGTAGAGCTCTCAGTTTCTCCTCCAGCACCCTATCTGCTGCCATGCTTCTTTCTATGATGAATTGGACCGAACCTCTGAAACTGTAAGTCAGCCTCAACTCAATGTTTGTCTTTATAAGAGTTGCCTTGCTCATGGTGTCTCATCATAGCAATGGAAACCCTAACTAAGACAGCTTCCAAGCCATCTTCTCCACCCCTGATTCTACTCATGTTCCTCACATAACCTATTCCCTTCATAATTCAGACTGAACTCCTTAAATATAATTCATATGTCATTGCTCTAGCCAACATGTCCCAATGGTTTCTATCATATTTAAAATCCCAAATTCTTACCATATCTTCTAAGGTTCCCCATGTCCTGTCTCCACACAAACTACTACCACTGCCTTTTCATCTTCTCCCACAGTTCTGGAGTGCCTCTTTGCTCCTCTTCACAGCGTAAAGAACTCAGTCTTCACTACTAAGTCTACTTTTCTAAACTCAATATTTTAATAGTTGGCTTTTTAAATTTACTTAATTTTCTACTTGACTATCATGTCTATAAATTTGGTTCAGTTTGGGCTAGAGGCCAAGGTAGAGAAAACATCAACCACACAGACAACTTACGGTCTCTATCCTCAATGACCTTAAAACTCAACAGATATGCCAAGTCATTATACTACTAGCTGGAAAATAAGGCAGAAGAGATAAGCAATTATTAGAAATATAAATACCATACTGTTAAAGTATAGCAAAGAATAAAAATTAACTCTGGCTGGGGCTAATTTATAATAGAAAGCTTTACTTGAGTCTGTTCTGAATATTCAGCACAACAGGAAACTCTGGTTGTTATTCCTGAAGTGGTTTATAAACCAGTAGGTTAAATACTATTTTAAAACATGAAAACTGCATAAATATTATCAACTGCACATAAAGAGCCTATTTAGCACAGGCAGCAAAGACTGGGAAAGGAAGCAGATCCCAGTGTTGAGAGTAGAAATTCAGCCAGATGTCGTAGTATGCACACACAAGCATCCCATGCATACATATACATATAAATAGGAGGATCCTTGAGCCTAGACTGAGTGACTCTGAGACCATTTCTGTATCAATAGATAGATAAGTAGGTAGGAAGATAGATAGATAGATAGATAGATAGATAGATAGATAGATAGTAAGTAAAGGGTAAATAATAGACATCTGTTGTCTAACATCTCTTTGAGAAAATACAGATTCACCTGAGAGAGGAGCATCATGACATGCTTTTCATGGATTAACTTGATTTGGATCGTTAGTGTAGAGAGATCCATCTTACCTATGGACAGGACTATTCCCTGGGCAGGGGCTGCCAGACTCTATAAATTAGCACAATGCGGACTCATCACTACCTGTTCCTCATTGTGGATGCAATGTGACCAGCTATTTCAAATTCCTTCTTTTATTTCCACACAATGATGGATTGTATCTTATACTGTGAGGCAAAATAAACCCATTTTCCCTTCAATTGATTTTGTTGAAATGTTTTCAATTCCAGCAACAGAAGAAGAAGGAGGAGGAGGAGAAGGGGG